TTGCCCCTGGGATTGTAGAAGCCTAGAATAATTGATTTCTCTCCTTTGGTTAGCAAGTGTGAGAGAAGGCTGGTTGCAGCATCTTTCTTCCTCAACCAAGCAGGCAGGCTCCAATTAACAAATTTTGCCATCACTGCACTGCCAACCTTTGCAATGTGCACCTTCAAACTTCAAGGCACGGTCATAGACCAAATTGATAAATATAGAAAACACTGCATCTAGAGGGGTCCGATTTAAACTCTAGAAAGCCCGCAAGTGCAGCATGGCCTATGGTTTGCAGATCAAAATCAGAAGGTGGTTTGGGAGCCCTTAACCTGAGAACCCAAAATGAGGCCCTGCTCCTCAAGTTCCTCCATAAATTTAACATAGAAGATATCCCTTGAGTCAGTTTGATTTGGGAAACATATTATACGAATGGCAGGCCTCCTACTAGCAATAACAAAGGTTCTTTCTGGTGGAAAGACATCATCAAGCTCTTGTACAAGTTCAAAGGATTTGCTAAAGTAGAATTAAATGATGGAAAAACTTGTCTTCTTTGGTCTGATATCTGGGTAGATACTATCCCCAAGTTAAATTTCCCAGAGCTCTTTTCATTTGCTAAAAACAAGACAATCACAGTGGCTGAAGCAAAAGATACAGAAAGTTTGCAGAACTTTTTTCACCTGCCCCTCTTTGAAGTAGCCTACCCTCAATTCCTACAGCTCCAACTGCTATTACAATCAGTACAGCAAACTGAAGTAAGGGACAGATGGGGCTTCATTTGGGGCTCTAACTTATTCTCATCGTCAAGGACCTACAAGCATCTGAGTGGGCACCTCCAGGTTCATGCTGCCTTCAAATGGCTTTGGAGAAGTTTGTGCCAAAATAAACATAAGGTCTTCTTTTGGCTCATCCTAAAGAATAGGCTAAACACCAGGGGAATGCTTAGAAGAAGAAATATGGAGTTAGAAAGTTTCAACTGTGTTCTCTGTAGCAGTCAGACTAAAGAATCCATTGAGCACCTTTTCATCAGCTGTCCCTTTGCAACTCAAAGCTGGACCTCCCTTAATCTTCACATTGATCAAAGCCTCTCTCCCCTGGAAAACCTGGAGTCATTCAGAGCCCAAATCAGCCAGAAATTATTCATGGAGATGATCATCCTTAACTGTTGGGCAATCTGGATGGGTAGAAACAACTTTATATTCAGGCAAATTGCTCCATCAGAAGAGGGGTGCCGAGCCATCTTTAGAAACGAATTTGAACTGATGCTATGCAGAGCAAAAAAGAAATACTTCCCAAGAATTCAGGAATGGATAAGCCAATTTCACTAATCTGGAGGCCTCTAGTGTTCTCCCTATTCCTTTTTTTTCTTTCCTTTCCTAGTCCCCTAGGGTACTCTCAGCTAGTTTGCTTAGCCTTGTTTTGTAACTCGGTACTTCTTTTTGTGCTGTTCGCCTTTTAATATATTTCCAGTAGGGGCTCCTTGCCCCTCCTGTTCTTTCAAAAAAAAAAAAAATGAGGTTGTTACCTTCAAGAACTACTTGTGCTGGGTTGACTATCATCATGGCATCTTGTTCTGTGATGGCATCTGTGGAGACAGCCCCAAGGTCTACTACGTCCGTTTTCCAAAGGATAGCTTCCTCCGCGATCATATTCGCCTAGCATTCAAGGATTTGTACCGCAGCTTGTGTGTCACTGAAGGTGGCCACCGTTTGGTATTTGTTGATGTTGGACGCCATGATGGAAAGGGTTTTGGCAACATGGCGCCTGGGATTGGTTTCACTGTGACCTTGAGGACATTGGTGACAACACAGAATGCTGACAGCACGCAGTGGGATTGGGTCGAGGATGCTGTGGTCACTTCAAATCAACTCTGGGCTGCAAACAACCATGTGTGTCTCCCACACGAGGTTATGATGATCCCGCTGCTGAGTTTGGATATGCCCAATGTTGTGCATGTCGTATTGTTTGATTGGCCGGTTTGCAACATCTCGCAAGCTGCCATTGACTTGACTTACAAGAAAGTGCAGGGATCAGTTGTTAGATACATCAAATCCAAGGATGATCTTTCTACTGCTGATGCTGACCTGGTCAAGACAAAACTGATGTACTTCGGACACTTCCTTCTATCGGAATTCCCCAAGTTCCTGAACCTCGGGTAGATGGAAGAGTCATCCATGAGTCATATGGCACCATATCAACCAACATCGTCATCAAGTGTGTTCCCCACCCTCTTCATTAATTGTCCAGTTATTTGATGACATTGTGCTGGATTCTACTGGGTTTATCTACTGTATTGAACGGCTATGATTGATTTGAGTTTAGAAAGTACATTGTTATGTTAAAAAAAAAATGAATTGTGGACTAGCCGTTCCTGCGGTCCTCCTCTAGGGAAAGGCTTTCCCGTGTCAGCAATGGGGTGGATGGAGAGTTGGTGGTGTTGAAGTAGCTAGTGAAGTGCACATTTTTTCTATCTTTTTTCGAAAGCGTGCTTGGCACGTGCTTCATTAAGAGAGGTTAGAGTTGGTACACAGACAGCCTTGCGGCGATCAACGGCGAGGTGCCGAGGGCGCTGCACAGGCACACACTTACAAAGATCACCGGCTCAAATGGTGGAGCTAAAAGGGCGTACTAAGTTACAAACTAAGAAACCAAATTTTGCGACGAGGGAAGAGGAAGCAAGAACTGGCTGAGGTCCTAGTTCACCGCGGCGAACAGCGCGGCCAGGCTCCGGTACCCAGCTGCGATCCAGGAGTCGGCCTCATCACAGATCAAGGAGAAGACCTGAGCCGGCGACTTCGTGACGTTGTCGAACGTCCGCCTGTTGCGCTCCTTCCATAGGATCCAGGAGACTAGAAGGCCTGAGGCTCCTCGGGACGTCCGCTCTTGTCTGCTGCCACCAATCGGCCAAGCGCGCATCGTGGCTAGGCCCGAAGCGCTGCAAACCTGCCGTCGCCAACAGACGGTGCCAGACCTCACACGTGTAGGTGCACGAGGCCAACAGGTGGTCCAATGTTTCGTGGTGCTGATCGCAGAGGGCGCAGGTAGCCTCCTGCTGCAGTCCATGGCGCTGCAGACGTTCGGCCGTCCAAAGTCTACAGTGCAGCGCTAGCCAGAAGAACTTGACCTTGGGTGGGGTAGCAGCTCTCCAGACTTGCTTGGCGCCCACCAGTGAGGTCATTCTGGTGAAGAAGGCTCTATAAGCCGATGAGGCAGTGTAATTGCCAGTCTCCGTCCACCTCCAGATGAAGCGGTCGGAGGTATGCGGCGCGAGCACAATCGACTCGACCATGTCCCAGACGGCGATGTACTCGCAGAGGACAATCGCCGTTGGCGCGCCAGTAATGTCTCTGGCCCACTGCTAGTTAGCGAGAGCGTCCTTGACCGTTCTCCTCCGCCGGCGCCCGGCGACATTCGACTGCCAGGAAGAGGTTCGGCCCGAAGTCGCAGATGGCCCCTGCCGGCAGCCACGAATCCGTCCAGAACCGCGCGGTGGCGGCGTCACCCACCTGAACGGTGACCGAGGCCCTGAACATCTGGTCGATAGCGCGCTCCGGCCTGGAGGGCAGGTGCGCCCAGACAGCGTCAGGCTATGTCCGACGAATCCATTCCCATCGTAGGCGTAGAGCGAAGCCGAGCACCCTAAGGTCCGGCAAACCCCAGGCCGCCATGCTCCCGTGGCGAGCACACAACGGGCCAGGCGACCCTGCACCTCCCGCCGGCGACTGATTCAGATCCCGCCTAGAGGAAGGCGCGTCTCCGCTTATCGATTTCCCGTATTGCCCAAGGAGAAAGGCTGCAGCAAATGGAGATGTGCACAGGGATCGCGGACAGAGTTGTTTATGTCAGCGTCGCACGCCCCGCAGTCGTCAGGAGGCCAGTCTTCCACGTCGGGATGCGGACGGCGACGGCGTCGACGAGCACCAGCTCATCCGCGCGACTTAGTCTGGAAATAGAGAGTGGCGTGCCCAGGTATCTGGTGGGGAAGTCCTGGACGCGGCAGGGGAACACGTCCTGCACGGCTTGGATGTCATCAGCCGAGCAGCGTATAGGGGTGATCGTGCACCTGTCGAGGTTAGTAGACAGGCCCGAAGCACCAGCGAAAAGCTCAAGGATGTTTCTAATGCAGGTGAAGTTGTTGGCTGTCGGCGCAAGGAAGATGACAAGGTCATCAGCGTAGATAGATCATAGATGCACGATATTTGATTGCGTCGCCCGGCAGCGGCGAAAGCACGAGCCGACGATCAGCCTCGTCGATGAGGGCGTTGAGCACCTACATGACGATGACGAAGAGGAGCGGCGACAGCGGGTCACCCAGCCTCAGGCCGCGTGCGTGGCAGATTCGTTTCCCCGGGCGACCGTTTACGAGCACCTTGGTGCTTGCCGTTGCAAGCATGGCCGAGATCCAGTCACGACAGCGCGTAGGGAAGACGATATGCTCGAGGACCTCCAGCAGGAACACCCAGGCGACGGAGTCGAATGCCTTTGCAAGGTCGACGTTGAGCAGGACGGCAGAGCAGCGGTGGGTGTGCAGCCAGCGACACATGAGCTGCACCGCGCAGAAATTCTCGTGAATCCGCCGTGCACGAATGAAGGCGGACTGGTAGGGGCGGTTTTGCCAGCCGCCCCTACGAAAGGGTGGCTACAAATCGATAATTTATAGGAGGCGGTTTCTAGACTGTTCCTACAAATCGATTTATAGGACGGCTACAATACCAGCCACCCCTACAAATCATTTTTCGTAAAAAAAATTTAAATTTATAATTTAAATTCGACTAGAACATATATTTTTCAATTAGCATTAAAGATAAACAAGTAAACTAACCAACCTTGTTCTGCCTCAAAACCATATGAACTTTAACTATATCAGATATATTTACATATAGAGCAAGCCATTTTTATATGGAAAGGGAATTTTCATAATTTCGTCAAACATATCATAGCCGCACATAAAGAACTCAGACTAAGAAAAAAATAGAAATACAAATTAAGGCAGATTGCATCATCTTTGCCTTAAACCACTATAGGAATGTATAGAAATTACTGAGTACACCAAATTCTGACCACTGGTTTATGTAGACATTAAGAACAGCATCACCTGGACCAGCTGTGTTTCCTCCAATAGCAGCCATAACTCCATTGAAGAATATGGCAACGGTCTGTATGAAATAATGAACTGGTAAGGATATAGAAGATCAAATAGGAACAAGTGAAAAAAAAATTAAGCTATTCAAGTAATTACCTGCTCATTAGCAGTTGGAGGAAGTCCACCCACATAGACACGCCGAGCATGTCGCGTAGCCTGTTGTGTCATGGCTTGTGGTTGAATAACAAGGGGGTTGAACTGATGCAAGGCAAGCAAAATTAGAAAGCAACAAACATGATCAAATAATACAAGATACAAGTGTGTCCAAGAAACAAGGACAGTTGATTATCAAATTTGGATGCCAGATCATGACAGAATGACCATTCATGGTTGAAACTCAAATTAAAAAACCCAAAAAGGAAACACATGGATTACCTGTCCAGCAGCCAAATTATACAAGTTTGGAAGCACCCCAACCCCGTAATTGGAGCAAGTGACACCAGAAGCTGACCTGCAATTCATCAACAGAAGAATTTATGAAAATCATATTTTCCCTCAAAACTCCAATCAGCTGTAGCATATTGTTTCAAGAAAATCAAACTATGAAACTACCAAAAATGTAACACATGCTGATATGAAGACGAACAAGATATCAAACCAGAGAGTGTCCTCCACAAAATGAAATTAGTTCTTCTATACGTAAGAAAAATCTAATTCCTAACAAGGATAACTCTTTGTGGAGATAGTTCAGATTAGAGCGGAGTTGCCAAATGCCAAACTCGCTAAAGAATCTTAGGCATAATAAAGTTCAAGACCTTATCGTAACCACTAGTTTATATATTAACATTGATATATAAAGCTTAAAGAACAATTTAAATATCATTTTATTAATTTGTACGCATATTAACTAATCATAGATGAGTAATTCCAATTATGGATAAATATATGTAAAGAAGAATCATACCAGGGATAGCACCAAAGCAGACAACAATAGGAAGTGCCTGTTGTGGAGGTGCTTGGTCAAAATATTGCACCAATTTCTAGAATCACTTGAAACTAGCGTAAGTAAACTACCAAGACAGAATCGTAATATAATTCATGTTTTGGTATGCTCGATGAGAGCCAACAAATACAACACAAAGTCACTAATAAACACCTCAAGTGGTGCATGACTATGGAACCGCAAAGAGTTCTAGTTACTAAGTTTTTCAAAAAATTAGGCAACTTAGGAATATCAAGGAATACCACTAACAGATCGACTATGGAACTCCAAGATTCAAAGTTGGATGTGTTAGTTTGTCGACTAAATTAAGTTGTAGAAATATTATAAATGCCTAATAAACTAGTATATATAAGCAAAATGGTTCACCTAAATGATCTCGGCATGTGATTGTGTCTCGTGCTAGAGAAAAGAAATAATTCAAAAAGTCGTGGCTGTAATTATGAACACAAACAAAAAAAATCAGTAATAATCAGAAACCATGGTACTAAGCGGTACAAAGGTTGGCAAAGATTGACACAGCTCCATCAGGTCCACAAGCAAAAAAAAACTAATCCAACTATAGGTCAAAAGAAAATGCACCTAGCACTTAGTCAAAAGAAGCCTTAACCGGCCAAAGAATCAAATGCCAACATGCGGCTTACTTCAGATGCTAATCACAGACAACACGAACTATGAAACATAAACATAGATTGCGAATAAGATGATATATTATAATAAGCGGTAGGTAAGTTGTACAGTAATCTCAAGACCGATGTAAATGTAAGATTTTCTATCATAATTGATAAGCATTGGGCATCTAACTTCACTAACCCACATGAATTAAATGCAACCATCACTTCACCAACCAGTTTTTACTTTTATTTGCATTAATTATTGGTGGGGAATCAAATCGCCACACAACCACCGGTTGAAATCATAGGCTAGCAATAATAACCGCTGCACCCACTAGACATCGAACCCATAACGCCTAACAGAACAAATACATCCGACACATCGGATCTATCCCTCTAGAGCCCACATCGAACTCGAACTCCCATAGATCACGTCATCGGTCGGCACCTAACTACAGGGCATCGGATGGGGGGCACGCGCACGAACGTGGGGCTGGGAGGAGCGGCCGTCGGCGTGGTCGGAGAACCTGGCGGGCTTGCTGTCGGTGGGCGGCGAACCCCAGCAGCGGCGCAGCCAAGCTTGCTTGTCTAGGGGCGGGTCCTCGCCGGATCGAGCTCATCCGCCGGATCTGGTGGTGGCCGCCACCATGTGCTTCATCGGCCTCTCAAGACCTGACGCCGAGCTTGAAGGATGGCCCCCAGCGTGATTGCCAAGGCCTGGAGGAGGGGGGTGCGACGCCGTGTGCCTCCGCTGGAGAGGGAGGGTCACAGCGTGGGGGAGAGGGAGGGGCGGCGTGGGGGAGAGACGGAGGAGGGGCTCGGAGGACAGGGAGGGTGCAGCGCGGGACAACGAGCGAGGGAGAGAGAGAGAGGGAGGGGAAGGAAGAGTCGAGACGGAGAGAGAGAGAGAGGGGGGAGGGCAGATGATATTTTCGTTTGGTGTACGTCGGGCATTTGTAGGGGCGGTTGAATCACCAGCCGCCCCTACAAATACTAATACCAGGGGCGGCTGGTGAGTGAGCCGCCCCTACAAATTAGACCCATTTGTAGGGCGGCTCAGATCACCACCGCCCTCTTTGCTTATTTGTAGGGCGGCTGGTCTCGGGCTCCTCAAAGACGCGTCTTTGTAGGGCGGCTCCATCATCAGCCGCCCCTATAAAAAATTTATGCCGTTGCTACAAACCTTTTTTCACGTAGTGCTTGATGATCTCTGACATCCCGAACGCAAGCCGAAGGGCCAGCCCCTTAGCAAATAGCTTACCGGCGGAGTGTATTAGGCTTATGGGCCTATAGTCCTTTAATCCTTCCTGTTAAAGATGGCAACGGGTACCTGATACCCAATACCCGACGGGTATTTGCTCAATTAGGGGATGGGGATGGGATGATATCTGTACTCGTAGGGATCTCAATGGGCAAGAATCCATCCCCAGAGGGGATGGCAGGTACGGGGACGTTCCCTGTATACCCGTCCCCGTTACCCGCTGGGGAACCCGCTATGCTATTATATATGTGTATATGTATATGATATATGAAATAGGCCCAGTTAACATATGATGGCCCAAGCCCAGTTAGGCTCATATAAAAGGGATGCTAACCCTAATTTACACATAACTCCCCCATCCCTATCCCTTTCCGTCGCCGCACCCGCACTGCTCCCGTAGCCCGACTCCGTATTCCCGTCGCCCTCTCTCCTCTCCATTTTCCCGTCGCCCTAGCCCCTCTCCACTTCACTATGTCTACGACACTGCTCGGCTGCTCACGGAGTGTGGACCCAGCGGCGTGCCATGGACGTTGCATGGTGAAGCCCTTCTTCCTCCTCGATGAATTAACCCATCATTTGCAGCGTTCCTCTACTGACCCCGTCCCTCCTCAAGGGCCACCGCCGCTACTGAGCCACCACCGCCGCTGGATCCGGTCGTCACTGATCTCCTGCTATCAGATCCGGTCGTCACCAACGAAGCTGCAGCCGCATCCAAGGAGTTGGTGGATGCTCCATCTGCACCTACAATAGAGAAGAAGAAAGCTCCCCATGCACCTGCTGCTGAGAAGAAAAAAGCTCCCCTGACATCGTCGACCAAAGCCACCTTCATAGCTGGTGACCCCAAGCGGCTTCCCCGGCCACCACAGGCGAAAGGTTCTGACCCCAAGCGCCGCTGCTTGAAGATATTCGTAGCCGAGAAGCCTGGCCGCAAAAAATTTAATTCTCCAAGGTCAGTACTCAGTAGATCTGAAGCTTTTAAACTTGATGATGATGAATATTGTTTGTCTCGTTATTATGTGCAAGTTTAGTGGTAGAAGTTACCAATTTAGTTTTTTGCAGTAGCTTATGTTTGAACTGGTGTTACCAATTCAGTAGATCTAAAGCTTTTATGAACTGGTGTTGACCCTAGATTTAAACATTGCATGCTTCTATACTGCTTTGAAGTGTTGCAAGTGATAAACTCTGATGAAGAGGTTGCTAAAGTGAAGGACACATTGAGTGATTTGATGCTGGAGTATCACATAGATGAGGATGTAGGTACAAGTAGCAGTAGCATCAAACCCACGGTAGAGAACTCAGGATTTTGGTCATCCTTCAGTGCACGTGTTGCAAGTTCATAGCCATCAGCATTGAGGTTTAAACCTGAACTGGATCGGTACTTAGAGGATGATACGGTGGACATACAGACCGAAGGCTTCAATGTTTTGGACTGGTGGAAGGTTGCAGGCTATCCTACTTTGAGGATGATAGCTAGGGATATTTTTGCAATTCCAATAACAACTGTTGCTTCAGAATCTGTGTTCAGTACTAGCGGGGGAGTACTTAGTGAGCATCACAGCAGGCTTACTTCTCAGATGTTGGAGGCTCTGATGTGTTCCCAAGATTGGATTAGAAACAAATACAAAGGTCTGTTTGTTGACCAATTTATATTTTCTTTCTCATGCATTTCAATGTTTTATTGTAAAAACAGGAAAGTAAAATTATCTTTTGTGCAGGAGTCCTCACTGATCTGGTGGTGAGCGGCGTGGCAACGAGCACGTGAGCCAGAGAGTGTGAGCTGGTCGGACTCTTTCATCATGATCTGGTGGTAGCCTGAGTAGGCATCTAGAAAGGAGAGGATTTCTCATCCTGAGGTGGAGTTGACTATCTGGTCTATGTGTGACAAAGGAAAATGGTCCTTTGGACACGCCTTATTGAGGCTAGTATAATCAACGCACATTCTCTATTTCCTAGTCTTCTTTTTAACAAGAACAGGATTGACAAGCCAGTCGGAGTGGTATACCTCCTTGATGAACCCAGCTGCCAGGAGTTTGGCGATCTCCTCGCCTATGGCCCTACGCCTCTCGTCGTCAAAGCGACGCAGTCGTTGCTTGGCGGGCTTTAAGCCTGGGACGACGCGTAATGCTTGCTCGGTGACCTCCCGCGGTATGCCCGGCATGTCAGAAGGTTTCTATGCAAAGACATCACGATTGGCGCATAGAAAGTCGGCGAGCTTGCATTCCTATTTGGCCAGGAGTTTGGCCCCGATCCGCACCGTCTTGGTTGGGTTAGTGGGGTCGATCCCCACCGCCTTAGTTTCCTCAGTTGGGTGGAAGGCAGTCGCAGAGGTTGGCTTGTTGCAATCTGGGACTACCGGAGTCAACGAATTCCCGAGCTGAGGGAGCTCAGCTAAGTTGATGACGGCAGTGGCGAGCTCGTAATGCTCGCAGTCGCACGTGTAGGCATGCGAAAAGGTGCTACCCATAGTGATGACGCCGTTCGGTCCCGTCATCTTCAACTTAAGATTGGTGTAGTTGGGGATCTCCATGAACTTGGCGTAGCATGACCGCCCCAAGATGGCGTGGTAGGACCCTGGGAAGTCCACCACCTCGAAGGTGAGGACCTCTTAGCGGAAGTTGGCCCGGTCACCAAACGTGATGGGCAGGTCGATCTGCTCGAGCAGGTATGTCTGCGTCCCCGGGATCACGCTATGGAAGGGAGAGCTCACTGGGCGGAGCTCTGACCGGGGGATGCGCATGGCGTCGAGGGTGTCAACGTAGAGAATGTTGAGGCCGCTGCCTCCGTCCATCAGTACCTTGGTGAGGCGCTTCTTGCAGACAATGGGTTCGACGACGAGCGGGTAGCGACCCAGTCTAGCGACGTGGGAAGGATGGTCCCTCTGATTAAAAGTGATCAGAGATTCTGACTAGCTAAGGAAAGAGGGGACGGCCGTTTCAGCGACGCATGCCTCTCTGTAGCGCACTTTGTGCTGGTGCTTGGAGTAGATGGCATCAGATCACCCAAAGATCATGAGGCATTCCTCAGGATTGAGAAAGCCATTGCCATCCTTGCCTATCACACCTCCTTTCTTGGCCACTGCCTCCTTGCCCTTTCCTTCTTTCGGTCCTCTGGCCTGTCGCAGAAAGCGCTTGAGGAGTTCACAGTCCTTGTAGAGGTGCTTGATAGGGTAAGCGTGGTTGGTGCTTGAGCTCTCCATGAGCTTGTCGAAGTGGCCAGGCTGGCCCTACTGGGGCTGCTAGCCCGCATGATCGGCCACGGCGACCAAAGCGGAGTTGGTCGGTCGGCACCGATCCTTCTTGTTCTTTTTGCCTCTTTGCGTGGAGGGTCCCTCATCTTGGTCCTCGCGCTTGGCCTTGCCCTTGTCTCGGCCTCCACTAAATACCGCTCCGACTGCCTCCTCATCGAAGGCGTGGTTCATGGCGACATCGAGCAGGTCGTGGGTGGTACGGGGCTTTAGACAGCCGAGCTTATGGATCAAGGACTCACAGGTTGTCCCAGAGAGGAACACACTGATGACGTCCACGTCAATGACATTCGGAAGGGGGTTGCATCGTTTTGAGAACCTACGGATGTAATCTCGTAGGGACTCGTTGGGCTCCTCCTGGCAGCTCTTGAGGTCCCAGGAATTCTTAGGACGGACATACATCCCCTGGAAATTCCTGATGAAGATCCTCTTGAGATTTGCCCAGTCGCGGATGCTGTTAGGCGGGAGGAATTCGAGCCATGCTCGATCATGCTCCCCCATGCAGATGGGGAGGTATTGAATGATGAAGTGGTCATCATCCACCCCTCTGGCTCGGCAGGCGAGCCGAAGTCTTCGAGCCATATACCGGGATTCGTTTCCCCACTGTATTCGGTGATGTTGGTAGGTGGTCGGAAGCGCGGTGGGAACGACGCTTTCTGGATGCGACGGCCAAAGGCCCATGGTCCCAGGCCATCCAGGCTGGGACTCCGGTCATCTGGTCAGCGACCATGCCTGGGGTGCATTTCCCCGCTCCCCTCGATGGTCCAACCGAGGCCCATGCCGCCTGCTCTCGCCGCCCCATGATGGATGTCATCATCACGCCGGGCTTGACGCCGATTGTTGATGACGCTGCGAGCGTCTCAGTTTGGCCTGAGCCATTCACGCACAGGTGGTCAGTGTGCAGCGGGCGCCGAGTCAGGCCGTGGTGCAGTTGTGGCCTCCTATTCCATGCCCGGCAACTGTAGCGGTGAGCGGATGGAGCGGTTTGACTGGTGCGCCCCCGTTCCCCCAGCGGGGAGAGAGGCCGCAAGTCGGTGTTGCAACACGGAGCTATCTGCCTGTTGAACGGCGCTGGTTTCCACCAGCGCCCGGAGGTTCTGGTGGACCGCCTGCTCCTGGGGATCAACAGGCTCGGGAAGGCCGCGCATAAGCATCGCCACAGTAGCGATGTTCTGGCCAGCCCAAGCAAACTGTGGGGGTTTGTTTGCTCCATCCATGATATTGCGCTAGACCTGACGGGCGCGACGCCAGGCGCCGCTCACCGGGTTATGCGCATGTGGCGCAGCGTGCTGCACCGAGCGCGCCAGCATAGGTGGCAGTTGGCTCTGCCGCCTTTGTCGCAACTCTTGGCCATGCTCCTACGCATGAGCGAGGGCCTCCGCATGAGGGTCCAGAGGGGTGTGAGTCTGTAGGGACTCCGCTATCACCGGCGACTGTCCCAAAGCATTCGCCATAGTGCACTCCAAGGACAGAGGGTGGCTAGGTGCCACGACGTCACCGATGTTGGAGCCATCGCTTTCAACCTCGTCATCCATGAGGTCATGGAAAGAGGTGGGAGTGTAGCCCACCATCCCCACGAATTTTGATGTGGGAGGGGGCGGCGTCAACATCTTTTATAGCCCCCACGTGTATGCATCCGTGGGGGACGTGAGGCCATAGGGGAACCGGTTGCATGGCGGTTGCAGTGGGGACCATGGGGTTCCTCTAGAGAGTCGGCGGAAGATATTAAATAGCGAGTAAAGAACAATATGTACGTTACTCACAGTGGGATTTGAGCCCAGCGTGGGCCTGGCGTGAAGCACAGGTGTCTCATCGTTGAGGTCGCCGGGTGGCCCAGAGCCGACGGAGGGCGCTCCTCCTCCGACGGGCGACGGGACAAGTGCCTCCTCGCGAAGGTGAAGCATGCTGAGTTGGTCGGCGATGAAGTCCAGGCTTCCAAAGAGGAAGGTCTAGGATGGCTCAAAGATGGGAGGAACCCAAATCCCAAAAGGTGGGAGCGTAGGAAACTCTAGTGAGCCCAAGCAAATCGTATCGCTTAAGCCCGTCATGCCGAAGATGGTGGAAAGGTGGGCCATCCAATGACCAAAAGCGTGAACATACGACGTTCTGCCCACGGATGGTGCCAACTGTCAGTGCAAAAAGTGACCAACAATTAAAAGTTTGTAGTTTTGTCGTATGTTGTGATCGGATGTGG